GACATCACAGACATGTAAAAAACATTACAGGAGAAAATGTATACCCGTGTATCGTACTTGGTCCGAATTAATAACAGTTATAATTTCACTCTGTGAACTAAGTGGGGTACATGGAATGTTTTAGTCTGACTTGGGTGTTGGTATATTGTGGCACAAGTATGGTGTTGCCCTTTCTTTAGCTGTAATACGGAAAACACAACACGGACATGCTCATATGCAAAATGACTTGATGGCATTATCAATTGTACAAATACAATTTTGCTGAGGATGAAGATTTGATAATATAACAAAACATCCAACAAATAAAGTGTGTTTTGAGTTTGCTGTTTAACGCCGAATATTCCAGCTATCTGAGGATGGTTTGTAAATAATCGAGTCTGGACCAGACAGTCCAGTGATTGACATCATGAACATCTATCTACTCAACTGGGATAAGACGTCATGCGGCCCTTGTTACTGTAACATGAACACGTGCAGGTAATAATACAACTAGTGTGTGATAAGCAACATAACGCCTTGTCTCATGACATTTTTATTGGAGTTTTAAATCATATGTTACAGGAAAGGGGCGTGAGTGAGGTATTGACAGGTCATACTTTCAGAAAGGGGGGGAGCTAGTTGGGTGTTTGAAATAGGGTTTACCGGGCGGCAGATCCAAGATGTTAGATTCAGGAGGAGTAATGTATATCGTCGTTATATTCAAATGTGTAGCAAACGCAAGCTATATGCAATGGAAGCATGTGGAGCTTCTCTGCCGAAGGATTCGATTCCTGTTAATAATCGGTGTATGGTACCTTTTATAGATGGGCTTCTTTCCTATGGTATGTTATCATATTACTATGGGTATGTTATCATATTCCAATGGGTATGAAAGAGGCGACTGAGGGGATCTGGTGGTCAGGCTCGCTGACTTGGTTCCTTGTCGTTGAATAAGCCCTGGGATGTTGAGAGATTTCAAAATTTGTTCGTGAAACTTCTTCCTGCAGAACTTTAACACGCGCTTTGGTCTTACACAATATGTGATACAGCTGTATGTTTATGAAACCGATGATCTCTTCAACGGGTGATCTGGCAAGTAATAAAGATCAGTACGCACTCATGAGGTCAACCTTTGCGAGGAAACTGCCTGGGGTGATCAACTTTTAGTGTCCCTCAAGTCTGCAAGACATCATCTGCAACACAGAAATCAACTTAGCCAGAACTCCTGCACATTCTTCGACTGAACTGTACACAATCTGTCTCTATGTGGGCTATAAACCCTCACGTTATACCGCACTTTCGTTAGGCAACACACTGCCGAACTGAAGGTTTGAAATATCTTTGGGCTCTTTGCTGCAGCCAAAGGTAGCTTTTTATGCTACAATTACAGGTAGTACAGCACAACTCTGATCATGGTTACTTGGATGCAGTCGTATTGATCTGAACCACCCTTGAGGTCAACCTTTGCGAGGAAACTACCTGGGTGATCCACTTTTTACCGTCCCTTAAGTCCAAGTATGAGCACTCACACTTTACCATGTAATAATTCATATCTTTTCCTGCGGAAACTCTCATCGTGGATAAATCTTATCTTGCTGTCAGTCTTCGGGATAGCACCAAACACACTAGCAACTCTAGGTTTAGATGTGGCAATCCCATAATTCCCTAACATTAATTCTTCCTTTATCTGCAGTTCTGTTTGCTTCCGGTTTAAACATGCCGACCTGTGATTCTTAGTTTCTCTGTACTCCTGTCATAGACCAGTATATCTCCCCATACGTATTTCTATGCAAGGTGACTTACATCTAGGATGTCATTCAGACAGTCAAGTATTCCAGATATATCCCCTCCTTTGTCAGTTATCATCTTTCAAGACGCCTATACTGGCGTATGTCCACATCTCTAATGTGGAGTTATCAACGTCCCCTTTTGAACTACCAAGGTCAAGTTTATACCATCGCCGGAATCGAGAAGCTTCGCCTCCGGGTCTTGTTCTCCAACGATTCTAGCCACTCATAATTTTCAGCTTTCTAACGTTTGCCTTACCTTGGATAGCTCAAGTCTTTTCTTGGTAAGGCAATTTGGGCAGCGATTTTCCCCGGGAGGCTTCTGGCTACAAATCATCATCAATCGCACTCTTCCTCAACGCATCTATGATTTCAGGCATCTTTGTCCCTGCCGCCTTCTCTCTGATTTTGTTTCAGCTCCCCTGACATCCTAGAGTCCTTTTCATATTCCGCGGCCATAAAATAGGTTTTGTTTGTTTGTTTGTTGTTTAACGCCGCACTCAGCAATATTCCAGCTATATGACGGCGGTCTGTAAATAATCGAGTTTGGACCAGACAATCCAGTGATTGACCTCATGAGCATCGATCCATGCAATTGGCATCGATGACATGCATCAGCCAAGTCACCGAGCCTGACCACAATGGGTTGCTGAAGACCTATTCTACAAAAAAACCCAACTGATATTGAATGAGTGAGTATGGTTTTAGGCTGCTCATAATGTAATATTCCATCAATATCTGGTGGGGGACACCAGAAATGGTCGTCACACATTATACCCACCCATGTTGGGAATCACTAGACTACCCCACCGCCCTAAAACGGAAAGACCCCCTACGGGTCAAAAGCGACAACTTTGAAAAGTCAAACCAAGCTGAATATGCAATATTATGGTCTAAGGGGGACAACTCCTCCCTGTGTTACAATACATTCTCTCGTAAACTACACCTTGTAGAAGTTCACGTTTGATTGAAATAACAAAAGAGATTGCACACATTATTTCAGATAAATGCCTAAGGGTCAAACTGAGAAAGAATCTCTTGCATCCTGGCTTGATTGTACAGATCTGAAGAGAGTCGTACAAAGTTGCTTCTAATGTGATACAAGTACATACCTGCACATACCAGATCACGTGATCTACCTAACACGACAGGCGACGAGCGGGTTGCGGTTATTCCAGGAACCAGGAAGAGAGGCGACTTCAGGGAAGAGAGCTCCACGTTGTAATAGGGGTATGTCACGTATTTAGACGCCATTGCACATACACACGTATAGATTTTACATTATGTGACAGTACTGGGTTGTATTACCTATGTTTTACTCTAAACACGCAAGGGCAGAGGTTTGACTTTGACACAGAAAGTAGACTTGACCTTGACATATCCAGCAGGAGTCCACCATGATTACATCAATATATAGTCTGGAAGGTAAGTTAAGGTACGGACGTTTACTACAATGTCTGAAAAACTATCGGACCTACTGCAGTCAAAGTTGGTAAGAGATTATTAAACAGTCATACATAACTGGATATTACATTTAAAGACAATTGGTGCATGAATAAAAAATCTGTCTGTTTAGCTATCACTGTGTTTCATCAACAACCAGACCTGTTCGTCACGGGTGGAACGAGCATTCATTGTAACAGCCATCTGCATAATGCTACCCCTGCGTCACAGCCATATGACACAGTTGAACCAATCAACTCAACCCGAAAGGTTGGTTCAACTGTTGAACACGGAGCTAGGCAGACAGATTATCGTCTGCCTTTTTAACACAAGCAGTTACAAGTTATAACGAAAGTGGAAATGAGCTTAAACGTCCATCCATATAGTTCTGTAGGATGTCAGTTAGCAGCTGAATCGTCATCGCTGATGAAAGGCTACACACGCAAGAGTATTACTATTATAAAAATCAATTAACACGGAGCTAGGCAGACAGATGTTCGACTGCTTTTATCTGAGGTCGTGGTACAAGTAGTTACCGGTTATAACGAAAGTAGGAATTAGCTGAAACGTCTGCTGGTGCACCCACCTACCCCGCACATTAGCATACTCGGGTCATTTGATTTGCTGACTAAGTGAAGATTGCGTTTTATGTACATTAACATGCGTGCTGGAAACACCACATGAACGATAGGTAAGTTCTTCGGGTCGGGGGAGGTGTTGTGGCGATAACAAGGTTGGATCAGAGTTATGTCCCTTTAAGCATCATCGACTTGCATGTATGTTTAATATCAGTCATATGACAGTAGATGCCTGTATGATTTTGTCTGTTGTGTGTGTGTGTGTGATGTGTGATGTGTGTGATGTGTGTGTGTATTTGAGTGTGCGTGGGAGCGTGCGTGCGTGCGTGTGCGTGTGCGTGTGCGTGTGTGTGGACAATCCGTATCCGGTCATGAAGACAATGACTCACCCATGAAGTAAATGTTTGTTGCCTGTCGTTGCACAGCAGAAGCGAACACCTGGTGTCGACACTGATTTCCAGTTATCTCTTCATATAATTTTCACCACTGTTTTGCCTTAGATGGAATGCGCGTCGGCAGATACTGGTTATTCTTTGGCGTTGTCGATTTTTATTAAATCTTAATGTAGTACTTCACAGAGGAGAGTGCGTATCCCCAAACACGCCAATATTTGACAACGGTTAAAACCACGTGTCTACTCGCCGTCTTGACCTGGTAAGGTCACGTGAGGGGTGTGGGGTGTCAGGCAACCAGGAAGTAAAGTATTGAAGTACGTGCAGTACTCGGGGGGAGGTGTTGTGTGTGTTTCAAACCTGATTTACCTTTCACTACAAGAAGCTGAAACATCAACCTGTGTTTATGGAAATGGGTCCATGGCTTAAACGACTGTTGTTCTTGTTTCGGTTTGAAATTAGTCTACTGTAAGATTGTTGAATTAAGATCGTTGTATGAAACTAATTTTAATATCCATGTGCATTAATTCTATGTCATGTGTTTGAAAAACATGGCATACATTCCACCCCGTCTCTCCACTTCATGGAATGTACATATTCATTACTTAGGGAAAACGTGAAATGGTATCATGATACAGTGTGGTATTTGATTTTCAGGGCAACTTACGTAAAGCATAATTAACAAGAATGATGTTCCAAAGATATACATGTAATGGGGCGCCGTGTTGTCACGTTGGGGATGATGCATTCATGTACATGTTGTATGATTCTGTCTATAACATGTGCCTATATACTTCACTAAACTATCGGTTTGGCTTCAGATGGCGACCGCTAAGAATCTGACAGAGAACCACCTCACCTGTGTCATCTGTTCTGAGGTGTTCACAGACCCTGCCACACTTCAGTGTAATCATACATTCTGCAAGTCCTGTCTGCTGAAATACATCAACACACAGCCTGAAGCAGTACAAGCCAGGTCCATACCATGTCCCTCCTGTAGACAACAGACGAAGGTGACCAACCCTGACAGTCCAGTAGAGGAGTGGGTCAGTCAGCTGAAACCAAGCCATGTCATACAGGGGCTGATGGACGACTTTGGACCCGACACAAAGGGTAATAAGCGTATAATTCTACTGCCTGACTAATATACCTTTTTGAAAGTTTTGAAAACAACCACACACGTGTGGATAGATGAGCATTCACTCATAGAATTGATTATTATGACTTCATGTAAATCGATTTTGATGCAGGATAAATATTTCTTTCTTGCAAAGGCAAAAAAATTACATTCTGTTTGCGACAAAGAGCTTGCGGTGAACTCAAATACCTATTACCATAATTTTATGAAATCAACATGAATTTCATGTCCTACCCCTTCCACGTCGTCATTCCTTTTTGTTATATTATTGTCAGTTATTAATACAATTTGTATGACAAGCTAGCATCTAAATGTCACAATTTGTGTCTGCTTATCCTGAATAGGCACAATATATGTCACAGCTAAGAAAGGGTTGTGTTGACAGAACTGTGGGGTTGATCTTAGTTACAGGTAATCCTACTGGCTGTGCCATGGCCCTACATTGTTACAAAGCATGTTAAATGAAAACGTTTATGTTCAGTTCAGTCTTTCATCTATAAAGACGCTATAACGCCCGCAGTTTCTAATATGCATCTGTTATTGCATATCTAGTCAGCAAATAATAATCTTGTGATTATGACTACCTGTACGTCATGATTGACCAGGGAGTGCTACATTGTTAGACAGCATCATTGTTTCATTACAACCTGTGTCATATGATATGTTCACCTGCAGAAAGGGCGTGGCCGTTTGTGACAAAACTAATGTGTTACCGGTTATTATTTCTTTAGATGGTGTGCGATTCTTATCATGTTTTTTGACAGATGAAATTAAGCACACTTGTTTTTGTAGGGGTGGAGGAACACTTGTGCAGTGTTTGTACAAAACAAGGAAAGACAACTCCAGCCTCTTCTTGGTGCTCTGTCTGCGATGTTGTGCACTGTGAAGGATGTCTCCAGATGCACAACATGATGCCATTGTTGTGTGACCATGAAGTGGTTCACTTGTCTGATCACACCAAAATAAAGGTCAAGCGTCGCTTCATGTGTAAAGTCCACAGAGATGAAAAGGTGAAGTTGTTCTGTAAAGACTGCAATCAGGCAATATGCACGATATGTTGCAGTATAAAACACAGGGCATGTAAGGATGTTGATACAATAGAGAGTATGACCCCTCTTGTGAAGGGACAACTGACAAGCAAACTAGAGAAACTCGGAATCAACGTTGCAGCTACGAATAATATCATAACCTGGAGAAAATCTACAATTCAAGATGTGAAGAGTAATTCACAAACCCTCAAAGATCAAGTCATAAAGACACGAGAGACAGTGATGCGTGTTATTTTAAGAAAAGAGAAGCAACTCCTTGGTGACATCGACAAAGCTACTGATGAACAATTACATGAGTTACAAGCAGATATAAAATCCCAGGAGATCGAGCTACAGATGTACCAGCAGCAGTATGAGTTCACAGCCAATGCTGTTACGTCCAACTTTGAGATGGACATGTTTGCCGTCTATGAGTCGGTGGGTGAGACGTCTACAGACAACAGAGACACGGACAACAGACCAGCAGCAGGAAGGGTTGTATTCACACACGACCTGGACAAGCTGAGTAAAGCAGTTGATGAGCTACAGCTGGGGGAGGTTGAAGTCATCCATGATGTGAGTGACCCCCAGTCTTCTCCTGTTCTACATCACACCATTGACTACAAGGAAGATGAGGACGTGAAGAATCCTTGCTTGTATGACGTCACAGTGTTGACTGTTGATGGCGTGAAAGTGATGGTAGTTGCAGATTGCAATAACGTGAGACTCAAAACATATTACACATCAAACTTCAAATCCTTTCATAATCAGCTTCTGCTTTCTAATAGTCCTAGGCAAATAGCCAAGTTAAGTGAGAGTCAGATAGCTGTCAGTGTTCCAGACAGTAAGGAAATAGTTACAGTGAATGTTACCCCAGATCCTGTATTACTGTCAACTATCAAAACAAGCAAGATGTACTACGCTCTAGCTGCTCTGAGTCCTTCACAGCTGGCGGCAGGTACATGGAGACAGTCTCACTCTGTGGACATACTGGACATGACAGGGAGGATACTGAGGTCTATCAACACGGGGGTGATAGGGAGTCCAGGCCACATCCATGTCACCAGAAACAACAACTTGCTAGTCAGTGAAAGAGACGTAAAATCCCTTGTGTGTGTGACCAGTGAAGGAGACGCTGTTTTCACCTACACTCCCACAGGAGACAGAGCTCTGACACAACATCGGGGTGTCACAACAACCAGCACAGGAGATATCCTGCTTGTAGACAAACACTCCCACAGGGTGATTCAGCTGACAGAGTCGGGGCAGTTTGTCAGAGATGTCGTCACACAACAGGATGGTCTGAAAGATACTCGTGGTGTCTGTCTTGATGCTGACGGCCTGCTGTATGTTACGTCTGGGAGATATGTAAAAGTATTCAAATTCTGCAGGCGCTGAATGTGGAAATAGGGATAATTTGATCTCCAAACACAGTTGACTATTTCAAAAGTTGGCTGCTGCTTTAGGTCCAGATCGGATCCAGTTCTTCCCTTACACACGTAGTCCATCATGTCATTGATTAAATATAGGACGACCTAACACCAGCAGAAATCTGACCTGATAGAAGTACTTCTCAAGTAGACCTAGCACCAGTAGTAGTCTGATCTGATAGAAGTACTTCTCAAGTAGACCTAGCACCAGTAGTAGTCTGACCTGATAGAAGTACTTCTCAAGTAGACCTAGCACCAGTAGTAGTCTGACCTGATAGAAGTATTTCTCAAGTAGACCTAGCACCAGTAGTAGTCTGACCTGATAGAAGTACTTCTCAAGTAGACCTAACACCAGCAGAAATCTGACGTGATAGAAGTACTTCTCAAGTAGACCTAGCATCAGTAGTTGTCTGACCTGATAGAAGTACTTCTCAAGTAGACCTAGCACCAGTAGTAGTCTGACCTGATAGAAGTATTTCTCAAGTAGACCTAGCACCAGTAGTAGTCTGACCTGATAGAAGTACTTCTCAAGTAGACCTAACACCAGCAGAAATCTGACGTGATAGAAGTACTTCTCAAGTAGACCTAGCATCAGTAGTTGTCTGACCTGATAGAAGTACTTCTCAAGTACATTTATGAAAGGAACGCACAATAACAGCACTGAATGAGGACAACACCACACGAGAGATCACGCGACCTAGACAGATGATATTGGACAGTATTGTTGTTTCATGTTGTTCATAGAGCAGTAATGTTGTGTTGTGTAGTGTACTGTACATCTGACGTGTGTTGTCATGGAATTACCTGTTCACATAATTGCGCATGCTATCGGTCTCTAGATTATTAAGTTCGACAACCCATCTCCTTATGTTTTAAAGGGGCGCTTAACGCTTATAAAACATCAATAGCGTTCAGTGATCTACAGCGGATATAATATTGTGTGGATGCTGTGAGAACTGGTTGAGTTCTGTAAATGTACTAATTTGTATCAGTTATTTCTACTATCTGTAGTGTTGAGTAGAGTATAATAGTAACAAGATTCATACTAAATGATTATACATACATGTTTATATAGTCTTTACATATACTAGTATATAATCAATTCGCCTTTATTGCATATGCAGGAAACTAGGAAATCAGCTAAGTAAGGATGGATGAACAACTTCTATATTACTTCGTACTCCAACTTCTAAATGCCTCTCAAAGTAGTCATGATATCAGCTGACGATTTTGCATTTTGTCAGAAACAAGTGTGAGCAAGTAGTATTGAACCTGTCACAAGAGCGGAGTTAACAGAACACACAACAAAATGCAAGCAAGAGTATGTCATTAACTTATATTTTTTCATTTAATCTTCATATTTCTAATAACATGACATGTTATAGGTATGGAGATAGTAATGTTTTTCACACTAGGAATGAGTGACGTATTTCCTCCATCATTGTGTATTCCAATAGTTCGTGATACATTGTAATTGCTAAACGTGTTGAGATCTGTATATAATAGTCAAATGGACAGTAAAACATTTTCAAGGGTAGAAGTTGCAAATTATTTGTCATTTCACACTTTTTGACTGGTTGTCAATCATGTTGTTAGATTGACAGGTGGCGATAGGTTAATTGATAGAGATACTTATATCACTTTTGTGGCTAATTTAATTGATTGGATAATTTGCCTTGATCTATGTCCGTATGTCATTTTTATTAATAAAACTACATTACTTCACTTTTCTGGAGACAAGAATAGTTCAGTGTTTGAAACAGAATGTATCAATAACAACACAGACGCTTTTATCAAAGCTCTAAGGTTTATTCATCTTTCAGTCATTCAGTGTACCAACAAATAGCCCTCACACCATGCCACTTGCCAGTCTACGACACCGGCATCGATATGACAAAGTCAGAAGTCACCAAGATTGCCATATTATGCATGGCACTTTGTCCTTCCCGGGTAATGAGTTGTATGATATTAACAAGCAACTGTATGGATCTTTACCCCACTGTGACAGCATCTGTATCCACCATTTTGCTGATATCTTCATCAAAGTATACTTTAAGAGTGAGTGAGGGGCCTACATTACTTTAGCCATTAGTGAGTGAGTGAATGAGTGAGTGTGTGTGTGTGTGTGGGGGGGGGGGGGGGGGGGCTACATTACTGAAGCCCTTAGTGAGTGAGGGAGTGAGTGATGGGCCTATAATACTGTAGCTGTTAGTGAGTGACTGAGTGACTGAGTGACTGAGTGACTGAGTGAGGGGGCCATTAGTGAGCCATTAGTGAGTGAGGGGGCCAACATAACTGTAGCCATTAGTGAGTGAGTGAGTGAGTGAGGGGGCCTACATTACGGTAGCCATTAGTGAGTGAGTGAGTGAGTGAGTGTGTCAGTGAGTGGGTGAGGGTGCTACATTACTAAAGCCATTAGTGAGAGAGTGAGTGAGTGAGGGGCCTACAGTACTGTAGCCATTAGTGAGTGAGTGAGTAAGGGGCCTACATTACTGTAGCCATTAGTGAGTGAGTGAG